AGCTGGGGAACAGGGCGCTGGGCCCCCTGCCCCCCCCCGGGGACGGGGTGACAGGGGGCCGGGGGGCCGCCGTGTGCTGGGGAGTCCTGGGGGGCGGCAGGAGCTCAGCGGGGGTCCCTGTGGAGCTGGTGCCCACTCCCACTTCCCCCAGGGGGACTGGCCGGACCTTACCAACCTGTCTCCCCGGCGGCCTTCGTGCGACATGGGGTGGGTGCCCGGCTTGCTGTTGGTCAGTGCTTCCCAAATGGTCACCTGTGGTCAGCGGCAGAGGGTGCTTGGAGAGTGGCACCCCAAAACTCAGCCCCCTAGGATGAGCTCTGACCCCACCACCAGGGATGGGGAAATGTGGGGTGAACACCCTGGGCAACACCAGGATGGGATGAGCAACAGAGTCCTCCAGCCAAGGCAGGCAGGAGGAGGCAGGGGGGTGACAGTGCCCACCTGGTCGTACTCGCTGCCGGCTTCCAGCAGGCTCTGCTGGATGGCAAACTGCAGCAGGTCATCCTCATCCTCCCTCAGGGCATCCTGGTGGGTGCCCACCACGCTGTACCCCCGCGGCACCTCGAACAGCGCCGGGTCCATCTCGCACGCTCGGCACGAGGCTGTGGGGAGACAGGAGCTGGCATGGCTGGGCACTCCAAGGGACCCCCTCCCACCCCAGCAGTCACGTGTCCCTCACCCTGCTGTGACCCACTCCTGCCCCACCAGCCGTGGTCCCTTCATCTCACTGGGACCTCTTCCCTCTCAACCAGCCGTGTCCCCCTGACCCCGCTGGGACCCGTTCCCACCCCGCCTCACCAACCACGTCTGACTCATCCTGCTGGGACCCCTCCCTCTCACCCCACATACTGAGGGAGCTGGAGCTGCTGACGCTGGAGGAGTCGCTGCTGGGTGAGGGTGCCTCACTGCTGGGGCTGTGCCGCAGGGAACTGACAGGCTCGTCACACCCATTGAGGTTGCCAAAGGTGATGCGGGCGTTGAGGATATGGAAGATGGGGATTTCTGCAGGAAGGGGAAGAAAAAAAAGCAGGGAGGGAAGCTGGCTGTGCCAGCTGAGCCAGCAGCAGAGTTCCCCCCCATACCGATCTTGACGGGGAAGCCGGGCGGGAGGCGCAGGGTGATGAAGTCCCGCAGTTTGGCGAAGAGCGCGTTGCTTATTGCCATGAGGTCGATGATGGGGGCAACCTGCTCGCAGAGGGACAGTGGGTGGTCCTCGCACAGCCACAGCTTCGCCTTGAACCTGACGGGCACAGGCGTTGGGCTGCAGATCCCTGCCTGTCTCCCTGGGGGTGGGGACACAAGGGGGTCCCCATCTGCTCCTTCCCCTCTCACTTCTGTGTCTTGGTGGTGAGCTCCATGGGCCGTCCCATGTCCCGGTTGCCCAGCTCGAAGTTGGGGTTGAAATATTCCTCAGGGGTGATGGCGGTGGGGTTGGCGTGGCTCAGCGTCTGCGTGATCAGTGTCTGCGTGGGGGAACAGCCCGGTTGGGTGAGGAGGGGAGGTCTGACTGCAGGGCGACCTCCCAGACCTCTGGGACACTCACCCCATTGTTGGGCCCCACGTGCTGCTCAGCGATGCCCAGGAAGGACTGCAGGGGGGTCTTACAGCCTGCGGGACAGGAGGGGGTGAGGGCAGAGCCAGGGGGGCCCTGCCCACCCAGCCCGTGCCAGCTGCACCTTTGCTCTTGCCCTTGTGCTGGTCCGAGAGGTGCTCAGTCCGCGTCCGTGTGATCAGCTCCACGTTGGATGCGCCATAGACCTGGATGAGGAGGGGAATGGCAGGGGTGGGTAACCCCCACCTGCAACTGGCCATACCCCTCTGGGCGGCTCAACACCCACTGCCCCTCACCTTGGCCTCGTACCCATTCACCATTTCTGTCTTCTCGCTCCTCCAGCCCAGGATCCCGGACTTGTTCCTGGAGCGACACAGCACCGTGAGCAATGGATGGGCTTGCTTGGACAGCCCAGGGTGCTCCGCACCCCTGGGGGTGGGCTTGGTGCCACCCCTGCCCACCTCTCGAAGGCGATGTTCTTGGTGTCGAGCTGGGTGGTGACAACGGGGGCTGTCAGCCGCCCCATCACCTGCTCCTCCGTGGGCTGCACAGCAGCCAGCAGCACCTCCTGGTCGTGGCCGGCCAGGGCCAGCGTCTCCGAGTAGACCACCCGCCGGTCGTGGTCAATCTCCATCACCACCGCGCTGGTGTCTGCAGGGAGCAGGGTCAGGACAACCACGGTCTCCACCACATTACCTGGCCCCGTTGCAGCACCACGAGACTCTGCCAGCGCTCCCTGCTGAGGGTGGGGGGACGCCCTGGGGCCACCTCACCTTGTCCTCGGAAGACAAAGCTGCGGTTGCCCCGCTGCCAGGTCATATGGTCAAAGCCCAGCAGCGTGGTGTCCACCCGCAGGTTCTGGCCGCTCTTCCACACCTTGTAGGTGTCACTGGGGCAGATCTTGGACACCAGAGGCACTGGGGAGAGATGCCAATAGCCCAGCCAGGGATGGGGCCACCTGCACCCCCGAGTGGGCTGCCAGCACTTAGCTGGGTGGTGGATGCACCTGGGGAACCCAACGCCTTGGCAGGATGGGGGTCTGCAAGCTTGGGGTGTCTAGGGGTAAAGGAGCAGGTAACCCCTGACCTGGGGATGGGTGCCAGGGCTGGGGGACTCTGCTGGGAAACTCCCACTCCTCCCACAGCCACGCTCTGCCCTGAGCTCACCCCAGCTGGTGAACTCCCACTTCATCTCCACGTAGAAGTCCTGGGCCTGTGGAGCACACAGAGGGGTCGGGAGGAGCCTGTGGCTGGCAGCCCCCCCGCAGCCCCTGCGGGAGGAGGGAGGTACCTTGCGCAGCTTCTCCAGCAGGACGGGGATCCCGGCCAGGCGCTTGATGGCTCTCTGGTAGTCGCGGTAGCGCAGGACCAGCTGCACCAGCTCCAGGTCACGGGTGCTCACGGCCTCCTGCAGGACTGTGGGGCACAAGGGCAGTGCCCAGGGCCATGGCATGGCACACATGGCACTGCAGAGCTGGGCACTGCACAGGAGCCACAGGCACAGACCACCATGTGAACGGTCCCCTGGGGAGCTGCAGCACCAAGGTGAGCATGACCATGCCTGTGCCTGTGCTTGTGCCCATGTCCATGCCCATGTCTGTCCCTATGCCCATTTCTGTGCCTGTGCCAGGGGAGCCTGAGGGAGGACAGAAACAATGAGCCACCTGCGTACCTGTCCATCCGCTGCGGTTCTCCTTGCCCACGTCGGCTCCATGCTTCAGCAGCACCCTGGCACACTCAAGGTGGCCCAGTGTGGTGGCCAGATGCAGTGGGGTGCGTCCTCGGGGGTCCAGCTGCTCGATGTCGGCCTGCCGGGAGGGAATGGGGCTCTGGGATCACCAGGGTGGCCACACCTTGCTCCCAGCAGCCTCCCACAGATGTGCAGCTCCCAGACAGAGAAAGCAGCCAACATTTGACGCTATCCCAGAGAACATCCCCACCCCTGATCTCCCCCCAGGAGATGCACCTCAAAAGGCTCTTCCTGCTCCCTGCAGCCACTGCCATACGGTGGTGGCTGCCAGCACCCAGCACAGCTCGGCACGGTCAGGCTGGACTGCACCCCCGACGCAGGCACGGAGCAGGGGCATGGCATGGCAGCAGGGGCACGGATGCCCCGGCGCAGTGCACACAGCTCTGCACATCTTGATGCAGCTGCAAGCTCGGGAAAAGCCCGCACCTCTGGGATTTGGGGGGGGCTGTGCCCAGTTGCCAGGCAGCAGCTGCCGGCAGCCCCCCTCCACCGGGGCCGGGAGCGCGGCGGGCGACGTGGGCTGCGGCGGGCGCACGTGTTCCCCTGCCTGAGCCTGAGCCGGGGGCGGGCGGCTGCGGGAGTGGAGCGGCTGCTCGGAGGATCCCCAGGGCCCTGGGGAGCCGCCGCTGGGGCTGCCGTTGTTTGTGCCAAACCCGGAGCCTGGCACCCAGCCAGCCCCGAGGAATCCCTTGAGCGGTGGCGGTGGGCACCCCCAACACCCACGGGCCCCGCTCCCCATGTGAGGAGCAGCATCACACCCGTGCCTAGGGCAGGGGACACAGCTCAGGGGGGCCTGGCCCACCCTCTGCGTCCCCAGCACCCAGCTGGCGTAGAAGCCTTGTGCCCAGAGAGGGGCACTCCGATGCTGCCAGGGCGGGAGGTTGTGAGACAAACCCCAAATCATGGGTTTTGGGGAGGCCACCTCCAGGAGAACAAACTGGGGGTGCAGGACCCAAAGAGGCCAGCTGAGACTGGGCAGACAGAAGCGTTTTGGCATGGGCAGAGATGGAGTGTGGGCTCCCCGGTGCCCAGGGTCTCATCCGCAGCATGTCCCTGCCTCTCTCCAGGCGTGTCCTGCAGTCCTGCTGTCCCAGGGATGTCCCCATCCCTGTCCACGCTGGGCATTCCCATGGGCTGCATCCCCAGGGACTCACCAGGCAGGGGGACCCCCTAGTGTGTCCACACTGCCAGAGCAGAACAGCCCCCCAGTTTCCCGGGAGTCAATGTGCTGCTCCATCACTCTCCAGGCGACTGCTGCTTCTTAATTGTGCTAATGAAATGACTCTAATTAAAGCTATCGCCCCCCAGCTGGGGGCGGGTGCTGCGGGCTCAGCAGGGCTCCCCAGCTGCAGCCTGGCCCCAGCGCCGGGTGGGATGAGGGTCCCCACTCTGGGGACACGGTGCTGGAGCCACCCCAGGGGACACAGTGTGACCCAGTTTTTGCCAGCAAGAGCTCAGTCCTGGGTCCTGGTGCTGGGGTGGCTCCAGCTTGGGGGCTGTGGCACAGACCTCCAGGTGCTGCCCATCATGGGGGTGTGACACCCCCTGGGGATGAGGACAGGGATGTCGGTGGCTTTGGGGTGGCAGCGGAGCAGCACAGGATGGCAGCTTGGCCACTCCTCCTGTGCCAGCTGGGCACGGGGCACTGCACATCCCATCTGCTGGGGTTGTCCCTGGATTGGAGGACCCCAGTGCCTACTCCTGGGTGAGAGTGAGGGACATGGGCCAGCATGGGGAGGTGGTGCCAGGCACTGCTGTCCCTGTGCAGCTTCGGGTCCCTGTCATGCATTATGGGGCAGGCTGTGGCGTGGGGTGTCCTGACACAACAGGCTCTGTGTCACTGCCTGCCACATCCTCGTGATGTCCCTGCCCTGGAGACCTGCTGACCCTCTCTCCCTGGTGGAGGAAACTGTGGATGGGAGCTCATGGTGACAATTTGGGGGTGACCCACACAGGGCTCTTATGGGAAGAGAGGAGCAATGCTGCCCCAGTGCTTCCCAACCCCAAACACCTGCACTTTGACTGGGGGGATGTGGAGCCACTACCCCGCGTGGGTCTCTGGGGTGGCAGAGAAGGGCAGAGCTCTAAGACAGGGGGACCTCCAGCCCCCAGGATCACAAACAGCCCCAGCCCCAACCACTTTCCCAGGGGATGCTCTGGCAGTAAGAAGGGCTGAGCTGTGTCCCTGGATGCCCTGGAGAGAGCAGGGGGCCTGGGCTGGCCCCCACCTCCGTCCCCCAAGCCCCCACCTGCCACAGAGTCTGGCCTGCAGCACCCATGGCCCCCCCGTGCACCCCTGCAGTGCACACGGGGCTGGCTTTGCTCTGCCCCTGCAAATGCCAACGGGGGCCATGGCAGAGCCCCTCCACTGGCCAGGCTGGGGGGTTAGAGAGCCTCTCTGCAGGTGAGCAGGTCAGAGCCCCCCTCGCAGCCCCTCCATCTCCCCGCATCTGCCGAGCCCAGCTTTGATCTCTGCCGCGCCGGGCTCCTGGGAAAACTGACCCCGCATTACCACGGAAATGAAACCACTGGCCATGGGGTGGGGGACCGGGGTGATGCTGGCGCAGCCTCTGGCTGGACCCCACAATGGAGGCGGGTGTGGCGGGAGGCATCGCCTGCATCCCGGCGGGAGCATCGCAGCACAATGACCCCCGTTTCCTGCACCACCAGAGTCCACCCAGCATGGCCCTCAGTGCCTTGGGGTGCAAGGACCTGGGCCGAGGGAGTGGGGATGCTCAGCACAGCCCGCCGCCAGCCTCCCTCCAGCGCCTGCGGTTTCCTGCATCTTCAGGGTTGGGTTTTAATTACCTGAATTGCAACGCCATGGGGGAGAGGAAGGCTGGGAACCTGCCGGGGATGCACCCGCACCCTGCTCCATGACCAGGCGGCTGGGAGGTTCCCGGCTGAGGGACACAGTGGGTCCCCTCACGCTGAGAAGAGCCTGCCTGGCCTCGTGGGGATGGGGGGCTGCACCCCAGCAGCATCAGGGTCCTTGTCCCCCCCCTCAGAGGGGCTCAACCTGACGGTGGCAAGCTGGTGACTGCACCCCAGGGAGGCGGCAGTACCCTGAGAAGTGGGGTGCGGGTTGGGGTTCAGGGGTTTGCAGAGGCCTAGCAGGGAGCTGGGGACACGTGTGGAGGGATGCTCGGGGCTGCGTGTGCCGGAGGATGCAGGGGAGCCGCGGGTGGTACCCACTGCTCCGTGCCAGCCCCGGGGGCAGCAGACACAGTCGCGGGGTGCAGGTGGGGACACACCCCACACTCCCGGAGCTCTGCCAGCGCAGAGAGCGACGCCATCCCTATCACCCCCCCTCATCTCCATCCTCATCCTCATCCCGGCTCCGAGCATTGCATCAGCCCGAGCCGAGCGGAGCCGGGCCGTGCCGGGCCGTGCCGGGAGTGTCCCCGCGCCGCCCCACCTGCTTGGCGCTGAGCTCTCGGTCCAGGTCACGGGCGCGGTTGTGCCAGACGAGGTAGTGCAGCGGGTACCTGCCCTCCGGCCCCTTCCTGCCCGAGCAAGACGCGAGCATCCTCCGTGCATGCTGGAGCGGCGCGGCGGGCGCGGTGCGGGGCGGCGCGGGGCGGGGGGGGCGCGGGGCGGGGCGGGCCGCCACCTCCCGCCCGGTGCTTCCCCGGCCCCCCCGCACCGCCCGGCCTCATGGGACTTGTAGTCGCCCTGCCCGGCATCGCCCCCTTCTTCTTCCTCATCTTCATCCTCCTCCTTTGTGGCCCCTCTCCCGCACCGCTCAGCCCATCACCGCGGCCTCCGACCCCGCAGAGGGGCTGCAAAGGGACACCCCGCTGGCAATCAGCATCCTCCCCAAATTCCCCCGCTTCCCAGGCTGATCTTCCCTGTCCCAGCTGACCCGCACTCGCCCCGTGGGGCAGCGGGCACGAGCACATGGTGGGATAGGGGCGAAGGCGGCAGGTGGGGACCAGGTGGGGGTCGTGGGGGGACCCCGATTCTCGCCCCCGCAGCACCAGGTACGGGCCCCCAGCCCCGTTTCCTTTTCCGCCTGCGTCTCTCCCGGGCGGGCGTCGCGTTTTCCGGCTGCCGCCCGAGAACAATGCGAGGCTGGGCCTCCGCGGCCGCCTCAGCCTCCGCCGGCGCCACGCTCCCGGCCCCCCCGACCCGCTGCTCCCCACCCTCCCACGGGGGGAACCCCCCTCGACATCATTATTCTCGGTTCTGCCACGGCGGTGGCAGTGGTCGCGTCCCCCCACCCCCGGTCCCCGCACAGCATCCCCCACCCCCTGCCAGCCCCGCTGCCCCATGACGTCATGAGCCATCTCCTCGGTCACCCACGGTGAGGTCACCCCGCCTGCCCCACCGTGCTGGGGGGCAGGATCTGACCCCACTCCCCTGGCTCCCGCAGGGCTCTGACCCCCACACACCTGTTTGGAGGGCCCCCATGGTACTGGGGTGTCCCCCCTGCTCCAAGTGCTTATAGGGTCACAGTTAGGGAACAGACCCCAAATGGTCCCCAGTTCCCACCCCCACCCCCAAAATCCCCTGCTGAACAGCCCAGGGCTGTGGACCAACCCACACATCCCCACTGCAGTGTCCTGGGGAGCACGCAGGTAACCCCCGTGTTCTGGGACCCCTGGTCTGCCCCTGGCTGCCCATGTTGCACCCCGGGGTGTATCCGGGATGGGGCAACAAGGAAGGAGGGTGCACAGGATTAGGTGCGCAGTGCCAGAGGTGGCTTTGGGAATGGGCTGGAGGTGCCCAGGGCTGTGCTGAGTCTAGGACGAGTGCCCAGAGCAGGACTGAAGCAAGTGGGAGGGGGCCCAGGGCTGAGACTGGAGTGCACAGGACCCGGACTAGGACTAGGACCAGAACCAGAACCATCCATCCGGGATGAACAGGACCAGGGCTGGGAGCAGGACCAGGGCAGTGCCCTGGACTGAAAAGGGGAGCGGGAAGGCACTGAGGACGGGGATTGGCGTCAGGACTAATGGACGCCCGGGACCAGAAACAGGACCAGGGTGATGCCCAGCAGCAGGTGTAGTGTGCCCGGGAGCGGGCTGTCCTGGGGGCGTACGCAGGTGCGGGTGCGGGGCGGGGGCGGTGCCGGTGCGGAGCGGTGCCGGTGACCGTGTGGATTCGGGTGCGGGCTCCGGGCGCGATTGCGAGTGCAGGTTCGGGTGCGGGTCTGGCTGCGGGGCGGCGCCGGTGCGGGTTCGGGTGCGGATCCGGGTGCGGGGCGGTGCCGGTGCCGGTGCGGGGCGGCCGCGGCGGCGCTGCCGGTGGCGGGGCGGGGGCGGTGCGGCCCCTCCTCCGCCGGGGCCGGGCCTGCGCCGCTTCCTGCGGAGCCGCCGGGCGCTGGGAGCAGCCGGCAGCCCCCGGCCCCCCCCCCCCGGGCCCCGCCGTCCCCGCCCCGCCCCGCCGCCCGGCCCCCCCCCCTCCCCGCCGCCGCTCCCCCGGCGGGCCCGGGGGCGCCGCCGCCGCCCCACGCTGGCGCAGAGGCCCGGGCCCGGGCCCGCCTCGCCGCTGAGGATGTCCCGGAAGGCGCCGCGGGCAGAGGTGTGCGCCGACTGCAGCGCCCCAGGTAAGGGCCCCCCCGCACCGGCCCCGCCAGCCCCCCCGCGCCTCCTGCTGCACCCTCCCGGAGCCTGCCCTGCGCCCCCACGGTGCATTCCCCTCACCCTCGTGAGCCCCCTCTGCGCCCCAAGGCACCCCCCGGTGCGTCCCCGCAGCCCGGTCAGCCCCCTGTGCGCCCCGAGGTGCTTTCCCCCTGTCTGCTCCCCATGAACCCTTTTGCCTCACCTTCTGCACCCCACATCGAAGGCCCTTTGTGCCCCCCTGGGTGCCCCCAGGACCCTCCCCGGTGATCCCCCTCTGCACCCCGCGCTGCACATCTAAGGGACCCCCATGGAGCCCCTGCTCTGCCCCCCAGGAACCCTCTGATGTGCCCCCAGTGCAACGCCCTGCCGAAGCCCGTGACCCCCTTGGTGCACCCCCTTTACTCCTTTGGAATCTCCTAGTACGCCCCAAACATGACCCCGATGCCCCCCAATGCCCTCCTCCGTGCCGCTCCAGTGCACCCCGCGTTCACCCACCGCCCCCCTGCACCACCCACAGCGCTCACACCCCAGCGCGGGGGCTGCTGGCACAGGCTGGAGACGCGCCGGTCGGTGCTAGAGGCACCGATGACCCTGAAAACGGCAGGATGAGAGGGGGAAACTCTCCTACTCCCCCCAGCACCCCGCAGCCAGCACCCACCCCAGCTGGATCCGGACTTGGCGGTGCTGGCTGGATGAGCCGGGCGGCCGCCGCGCTGCAAGCCAGAGCCGAGCCTGGGCAAGACCATTCCCATTCCCCGGCGGTGCCGGTGCCCGCAGCCCCCACGCTGGGCACGCGCCCGCGGGCGTCACGGCGGGGTTGGCCCCCCCGCAAACCCTGCCCGCGGTAGGGCTGGACCCCAAACCTGCCCGTGGCCAGTGCAGGTGGCCCCCACGGCAATGAATGAACGGGTCTCTGAGCCGGCCCCGGAAAGCTGCCCGCGGGCCAAGGCTGTGCCGAAATTATTCCGGCCACGTGCCAATGGCCGGATCCTGCCAGGAGAGCTGTCGGCACGCGTGGGCACGAGGCTGCCCTGCCTCCGGGCGTCCCCCGTGCCGGCGGGCAAGCGGGGGGCAAGGGGTTCCCGGGGCGGTGCCGGGGCTCCCTGCCGCGGCTGAGGGGAAATGGAAACCAGTTTCTTCCAATCTCTTATCGCCTGGCAGCCATGGGAGGAAATGAGTTATAAAGTCCAGAGGCCGTTTCCTACCACACCGGGAGCACCCGCTGTCACTGCCAGGGATGTGCTGCCCTGCCCTGCATGGTGGGGTGCCCGTGGGGTGCCCTGATCCCTGTGCCTGAGCTCCCTTGGCCCCATGCAGGGATGCTGCCTGGCCCCAGCCCTACCATCATCACTGCGGGGCTGAGTGCTGGGGGTCCCAGTGTCAGTCCACATTGCAGTGCAGGGGTGGAGGTGCCAGGAGCTCCCTTCAACTCCAGGATCTCCCCAGGGTTTGGGGTGTCCCCATGCCAGTGCTCCCCCAGCTGCTGCAATGCCCACCCACATCCCACCCCAGAGCGGGAGGGGCTGTTGCCCCAGGGGTGCTCTGGACCCGCCCGGATGGGGGCCGCGGGCTGGTTCCCCCCGCACAGAGCGTCCTGTTCCCGGCGGTGCCCGTGGGCAGCGGGTGTGAAGGCACAGATGCCGCCGCACCGGCTGCCAAGGCGCTGCCATCTGTGTGCACGGGGCTGCCAGGCTGGGGGGGCCACCACTCCCCTCCCCCGGCCACCCCACCCTGGCCCCGGGGCACTGCAGCATGGCAGGGTGCCGTGCCCCCCTAAAACGGTGTCCTCAGGGCTCTGGGGGGTGTGTGGGGAGGGGTCCAGGACTCCGCAGGGAGGAAGGAAGTGGAGGAGGCTTGGCTGCCTGCCTGCCTGCCTGCCTTCCTCTGGGGGGTCGTGGGGCCGCTGTCACCCCTCAGGGCCATCGCACCGGCCACTGCTGCCACCCCCCCCAGGCCCTGTACCCCCCGGGCTTGGGGCATCTCCCTCCTATGGGGTAGCATGGTGTTTGTGTAGGACCTACAGAAACAAGGGGTGGTGGAGCTGGGCAGTGGGTTTCAGGGCTCCCCCGTGGTGCCCCGCAGAGGGGACACCCGGGAGCGGTTCGGCATCATCACCCCGTGCCTGGCTGCGTTTCACGGGAGGGGAGTGCTGTGACCCAACGCAGGGGTCCCCAGATCCTGCCCTCATGCTGTTGTGGACAGCTGCAGCTCCACAGCCACCCCATGGGGTAAGACCCCACAGTCCCCAGGACCCATTTTTGGGGTGTGGGTGTGAGGAGCTGCTGCCTGGCTGGGAGCAGTGCCCCCGCGAGTGCCGGGGTTGGTGCCAGCGCGGGGCCAGCGCGGCTGCTCAAACGGTCCTTTGTTCCCGGCGGGGACACAAAGGGCTCCAGTCCGGCCGGGGCCAGCGGCGGGGCTGAGGTGGCATGGCAGTGTGGGGGGCCGTGGCACCTGCCCCGGAGCCAGGGTGCCCTGGGGGGCTGATCTGCACTGGGGCGCCGAGGTTTGAGATTCGGTGACCACCCTATGTGGGAACCCACAAACTGGGGGTGCCCACCTACTGGGGAGGCACACTGCCCCCGTCCAGGACCCCCCAAACACCCAGCCAGGGGCTCAGGGGTGCATGGCATCGCAGTGAGCCAGAGGGCCCCTGCTCAGGGTATGCTGGCATCGTCCCTGCCACTGGCCGCCCTCCTGATGGTGGGGGGCCAAACCCTGCCCCCCTTTTGGCTGGTGGTTGCTATGGGAAACCTGTGGGTTTCCCCTGGTGATGGGCTGAGCCCCTCTCCATCTGCGGGGAAATGGTTGCTGTGGCAACACATCCCCCCTGCGGGATGGATGGATGGGGAGGGGACTGCTTGGGGAGGGGACACCCGCTGACACCCCATGCCACCCTCAGACCCTGGCTGGGCGTCGATCAACCGCGGGGTGCTCATCTGTGACGAGTGCTGCAGCGTGCACCGCAGCCTGGGCCGCC